GAATTTATATGTAATATATAGCATTTGGACGTAATGATAAGGAAAGTAAAATGTGTTTTCTTTTAGAAACTTGTGCACGATCGTACTGGTTCTGTGCTGCGTTACGCGCTGCGCAGCTATTCCTTATATGTTATAGATATATATTGATACCATCTACAGTAAAAATTTTAACTGATTTCATTTGTTAGTTATCAAGAAAATTCATGCTAAAGTTTGATAAAATTTAACGAAATTTTGCCATATATCATTATATATTACTAATGTTTATACCCAGCAGGGGTGATATATATTTATTATGATCTAGAAATTATAATCGATATATATTGCCAAAAAATTTTTCTGATATTGGTTGCTACAAGTAAAATTATTACTATTAATATCTAAATATAATTTGCCTTAGCAACATGTTCTCTTCTCAGAGTTTTAAATTGCTAGTATTTATCTATAAAATTAGCAATAGTCTGTTAAGATTATTATTTTTCTTTTTTTAATTTTTCATCTTCAAAAGCAAAAGAAAAAGAGTGAATATAAAAAAAACAAACAAATAAATTAAAAATAAAAATAAAAACATGAAAAAGAAAAAACCAAAAAAAAAGCAAAACATGCAATCCTGATAGGACTAAATTAGCTTATACAAAATCCAAAAAATTATATACTACTCTTAAATCTATTTTACTCTAAACTTAGTATGTAGTATATATAATATTAATACAAAAAAAGTAGAATCTCAGCTAAGATTTTTCAAGATTGTAACCAACCAATTGATATTTGTTTTCTTTTTATATATAATTCTATATGTAAGCTACATGTAATTGTTTTATAGCACTTATTTTTAATTTGGTAGTGATACACAATATAGATTTTTTGAAGAGGTATGCCAAATTTTTAGCTTTTTGATAAAAATTCTCTAAAAAAATTTCCAAACATAGCAGAGTAATATAGAGAGAAGTTTCATTTGTCTATACTTAATAAATTTTTTGAGAAGTGTATTGAATAACTTATATATTGTCTTCATACAAGCCAGATGCAAGTGACTTCATTAGCAAAAATGAAAAATCTCTTTCATCAAAATTTTTGTACAAGGGCACACTCTCCTGCCAGTTATTTAGTACAGAAACACTTCTGACTTGCATGCTAAATATATGAGGCCCCAAGCCCAAAGTGAAATAGAAGCTTGGTTGATCTTTATAAAAACTGTTATTGTATGTCTGTTTCTGCTACTAACTCCAACAAAATTTTGGTTTTCTTTAACAGAAAATTTGGTACAGATAATTGTTAAAAAAAGTTATAATTTGACTATTATAGTTTAAGTTTTTTATATTATTATAATTTTATTATATTTTAATTAGATTAATTATATATTTTTTTTTGATATTGCACTTAAGAAAAATTATATTTTTACTATATTTTAAATATATTGTAAAAATCAAGTTGTATGAGACTTAATAATATTTTTACAATATGATTAAAAGATTTTAAATATTTATATTTACTATATATTTTTTAAATTTTATATCACAGCTATCTAGTAAATATATAATAATTATTTGGTAAATATATTTGGCAAAAACAAAAACTTCTATAAAGTAACTTGATTGACTATTTAGATAATAGTGTTATCTTCTCTATTGTTAACATACTGAAGAATTATAGAAAAAATAGGTTAGAAGAGTAATATGTATAATCTGATAAGACATAATAATATACTTTCTTTAATATTCAATTATCATTAAACCGAATCACTTAATATCACAAATCATAATAAAATCTAATTGGGAACCTTTCTTACTTATCTTTAAAGCTTATAAAACCCACTTATACTCTTTTATTAATAAAACTAACTCTAAACCCTAACTCAAACACTAACTCTAACCCTAAAAAATATTTTCCAAAAAATTTTAAATTTTCTATAAAAATAGAAAATTTTATTTTAATCTGATTTTATTTTAATTTGCCACAGTTATTGATATTAATTATTCTGAGAGATCATCATGAGGTTTGTCTAAGTTGAGGCACTCACGGGTTTTGCAAAAAATTCTCAATGTGAGGAGTAATCAACCAGAGACAGTTAATCGATGCTGCAACCTTTTTTTTCAGATATCATATTCAGTCCAACCCTTTTTTCATCTTTGGGAATTTTTTTTTCTTTGAATTGAGCTTTTGCTCTTTTTTTTTTTTTTTTACATTATGGACGCTCTTTATTTGTATTGAGGATACTCTTTTTTTTTGTATTGAGCAATAGCTCTTTTTTTTTTTGTATTGAGCAATAGCTCTTTTTTTTTTACATTGAGCGACGCTCTTTTTTAATTGAGCTTTCACTCTTTTTTTTTGCGTTGAAATTCTTTTTTTGAATTGAGTGAATTTAGCTATTGCTCTTTTTTTTTAAATTGAGCGAATTTAGCTTTTGCTCTTTTTTTTTTAATTTTGATCTCTTTGCAGATTTCTTATGATTAATACTTCTGGGTGAGATTAGTATTAGATAAATGGGTTCTGCAATCTAATATCTGATATGTATATATGTACGTATGTACTTCAATATTATATATGCAAGAATCTTTTTATATCATACAATAGATGTCATTTTAGCTAGTGTTGAACTATAACTCCAAATAAAGGTATAAAGAACTGTTTAGTTAGAATAGATCGAACCTGTTTCTCTAAAATAAGCCATTATTGTTATCTTGTAAATGGCTCATGTCTAACTTTTTTTTTAAATAAAAAGACTGATAAAAAGTCTGATGAATTCCAAAATTTAAACATACTATTGTTGCACATTTTCAATATGATTAATAAAGTGATCGTATGATCTATATAATATGGCTTGAAGAGCCTATAATTTCATCATTATTATGTCTTCTATTAATTATATATATACTAATGATATACTTTGTGATTATAAATATGACAAGGAAAAAAATAAAAAAAAGTGTTTTTTTCTTTTTTACAAAAAAAAAAATTTCATACGATGGTTTATAAAGCCAATTTTTCTCAATCACTTGAAGCATACCAAAATATCATTACTTACCTCCATAATGAGACTATACCTACCTCAGTCATACCAAAAAACAGATGGAACTTAAACGTAAAATGAAACTGTGGCGTCTAGAACATGGTCATCTTTACATTCAAATTAAGGATCAGCCACTTCGTTGTTTAGTTCCTGCATGGGACGTGGAGTTTTGTCAATCTTTATTTAGCCAATTTTATGATAATGACTGTCATATTAACGCGAATGGTTGTTATAAAAAAATTATAGTACAACACATTGGTATCATGAAAAAGGACATTTGTGAGTATGTTCAAAATTGTAATACTTGTAATCAAACTATTTCAATTAAAGAAAAGAATGATCTAACACCAGTTGTAAGTCATAGTCTAATGAAACACCTTCAGATGGACCTCATTGATTTTACTGCATATAAAGATATGAACGATAGGTTTTCCTGGCTTCTTACTATGGTTTGTATTTTTTCAAAATTCTTGTGAGCAATACTGCTTAAGACAAAAGAAGCTAATATTGTTGGTAAAGATTTGATTTCGCTATTTGCACAATGGGGTGTGCTGTCGATTCTGCAGCCTGACAACAGCAAAGAATTTACTGCCAATGTTGTTAAATGTATTTGTGAAGAACTTGGAACATAGGTATCCTAGGCACCCAATGTCGCAAAAACAAGTCGAGCGTCTAAATCAAACAGTTGGATAGAGCTTCACAAAAATGTTATAGACTGAAGAAATGAAGTTGCAAAATGTTAACTAGAATGATTATTTACTAAAATTCATTTTTTTGTATAATACTACAGAACATAGTGTGCATAGTAAAACACCTCGTGAGGTAATGTTTGGATACAAGCTTCTAGGAATATATCAGCAATTTAATTCCAATAATCCTATTGAGGAAATAAAAATAAAAGAAGTACTACCAACACCTCAAATCATAGAAACTCATCTAGAAAAAGTTACAAAAATTCATATCAAAGTTGATAAGCAACTTTATAAAACTAGAAAACAAATACAAAAAAATTCAAGTGTCCACCGTCGCAAAAATACTTACGAATCTGGTCAGTTGGTTGCAATTGCCCCCAATATCGACATGAACCAGCAACTTGAAAAAGAAAGCTTCAAACCAACTTTACAGAAACCGGAACTGTAGTTGGTTTAATGAACAATAATAAGACTATTGTTGTTGAAATGGCTGAAGGTAGTTCTATACGTTGTCCTGTAAAAAGAATTTGGCACATTAAAAAAAATAATAGAAAAAAAAATAATGCCGTAGCATCATCTTCACCTAATAAAAATTAGAAAAAAAACAGAGGGATTTTTTTTTTTTTTAAGTTTTTTTTTTTTGACATTTGTTTAAGATATACATTTCTTTTTGTTTCTGTCTAAGCTGGTTTTTTTAGGCTTAGTCTTTTTTTTTTTAGGATAGTTTTCGATTCTTTTTCAGATAGTTTTTTGGTTAAGTGTTTAAGGGTTGAGTTTAGGGACTTTTAAGGGCAGAATTATTAGGGTGTGATGTAATAATAGGGCTTATAAATGGGCCCACCTCATGTTAGTTTTATATTGCAAAATAAAAAATCATGTGATGTCTTAAGTTGGGCAAACCTCATGTTAATCCACAACAATTATTGTTATTTTAATACAATGTTAACTTTGTGTATAAAGTTTCTAAACTATATTTAAATACATATGAATGTCTTACAAAGTTTTTATAAATTAATACTATAATATGTGTGCTGCCAAGGGAAAACCTAGAATTAAAAGTTTTCTGAATTCCATTTTAATGAATAGGCTTATCAGACTTATGATTTTTAATAGAATTTATTAAGAGCTTATTATAATTGATCAGAGATTAGATTAGCTGATTCTGAAAAATCATAAATTTCAGGTTTTTTCTTGGTAGAACTTAGTATGTAAATATTTACAAATATTTAAATAACCCTTATTTCCATTACTTCAATCAACTTCTACATATCCACCAGCCCAGGAAATATAAATTGCTGCTCTGATAATCCGCCAGATAATACTCCAATCATTATCAGTAACTTCTAATATCCAACCTGTTAATGCAATACCAAAAAAAGTTGAAACCATCTCAAAGGTAATTCCTAAGGCACACATTACACCGGCATATTTTGGTACAATCTCCAGCTATAATTGACAAGGGGTTAATTTTATTATAGATAAAATAAATAAATAAATATGTATATATAATTATTAAATAAATAAATAAATAGTTACTTAAGATGCAAGAAAACTTAAGATTTGAAATGAAAATAATGTAAATCCAATCATTATCAGTAACAATCCTTTGAGGGAAGTTTTTGCCAAATATGTTGTCTGTAAAATATATATACAAATCAAAATAAAATAAAATAAAATAAATGAATGAAAGAACAGATACAGTGCATTTTACTAAATTGCACCAATGGTGTTTAATATCATAGTCACTATATCTTAAAAAATTTTGCAATTTTTTCATGCTTACCAATAAAAGAGGTATCGATATTCCAAGGGCTCCAATTATATTGACAGATTTTCATACAGTTAGAATATTAAATTTTAATTGATAAATTGCATAATCACAGATATAACCAACTATAAATTTTATTATGATGTATGATAAGCAAGGTAAAGCTAAAAAATTGATAAAGATTTAAAATAAAAGTTAAATATAGATAATATTAATCAAACAGTTGAATCTCTCAAAACTAAACCTGTCAAAGCTACAACCTGTCATATCTATTTTTCTGCCATATAAATTAATAGTTAACCATGATTTCAAATCTAATAACCTCTCAATACTGATACAAAATCTGTTCACCTTTGAGATTTCAACTGTAATAATATAAATTATAATAAGGTTTCTTACCAGTGTAAAATCCAATTAAATGAATATCTACATGGAAATATTCATAATAAAATATTGGTAACCAATTAAGCAGAATAAAAAAGGTCCAAAAACTAAAAAATTGACAGAGCAAGATGCCCACACTTCACGACGAGAAAATATCAATTTCCAAAGAATATTATGTGCAAACTGTTGCCTTGATGATTGTCACAGTGTTTCTCAGTTATGGGGTCTTTTGGGCTCGATTCACTTAGTCAAAGCACTCACTTTGCACTGGTATATCATACCAGGCACTACCACCTATACCACTGTGTATTTACTAGAACGTGTATTCACTAAGCAAGACAAACATTTTTACTAAGAAGTTTGTTCAATAAGCAAACTAACGTTCATTGATTCCAAAGGAATCGATTTTCTCTTTTATTAGAGATTTCAATCTGGGTACTAATTTACCCAGTTACACGCATTATGCAATACTTACAAATAGACTTTTAATAAACTTCATGCATTAGATCACTGATCTACTCTATTAATATCTATTACCCCAATCATCATGGGCACCACGTGACATTGTGAACTCAATTCACAATCAGATCCCCAGTCTTCCAAACCCAACATTCCTCAAATGCAATATACAGGGGGTTGGTTATCATCGTGACAATGATACTTGATCCTTTGGTAGTAACATATCATTTACATTTTGAGAAACTCTATAATCGTCGTCAGTAATTGTGATATATTCCCTAGATTCTGATTGATAGTTTCTGAAATTATCATCGGAACAAACAGCAGATTCGCTTTTTAAATCCAATCTAATACTTCTTTTCTGATTCCTGGATAGTCTCTAGTATCATGTTTCCATAAAAATACCAAATAACGGACCAAATAGAACCAATAAATGCGAATATCTAAAAAATACTTTCCCAGCCAAATTGACTTGAACCCAATAGATTTGAAATTGGCAAGGTAATTAGCATACTGATTGGACCTGAAGCACCTATTACTGAAACAACTCTAGATCTTTCTTCAGGTGGAAACCATTTTGAAATTAAAGAATAAATGGATGGAAATGTCGGGCCTTCACCCATTCCTAAACAAATCCTACACAATATAAGGCAGTAAGTATATGTTTATCCTGGTAGAAATTGGAGTAATTAAAGTAAATAGTGTCCAAGTTGCGGCAGCTGAAATAAATAGTTAGTTTAGAAATAACCAAACTTAATTTTTTTTTAATTAGTATATCTCTTAGAAAGTTACTCACCTACGCCTAATACTCACCTACCACCGAATTTATCACCAAGTATGCCTCCTATAATTAGAGGTATCATGCGCATTTTATATATCATGCGCATTTTATTATAAAATGCGCATTTTACCCATCTCTAATCTGATTGTTAATCAATGGTTTAATTGTTCTTTGCATGAATTATATCAGTGAATCTATCAATCATATTATAAAAAAAAATAAGAGTCTTCTATATTTAACTACCGTGACTTATTATCAAACTTACTGTGTTACATGACTCTAATTAAATGATCAAGGTTTTTTAAATGAACCGTATTTTGTACCTGTCATTTAATGACTCTATTAGAAGAGAAGATCATGATAAAAATTAATTTGCTTATTACGTATAATATGTATACAGAAAAGGTATTAAATTAAAGTATACCCTGTCAAAACTGGTATGCATGATTTAAAAGGTTATCAGGTTTAAGAGGTTAAAATTACTATATTATAAACAGACATTATGGATCAATTTCTCATCGATTTTGACAAGTTATATTGTAACCTTTCCAAGCTGAAGTAAAATTTGCCTATCATGCATACCAGTTTTGACAGGTTATACTGAAATGTTATCATACGCGTAACAAATTGATAATCTTAAGGGAGACACTTATCATTATTCCAGTCTTGTAAATGTTCAAAAAGATTTAGTACATATCTATCTATATTGGAAATAAGCTAATTTTAGTCAATAGGCAATAGTTGCATCATAATCGTATAGTGAGAATATTTCATGGCTTCATTTATTGTAACAATTTATCATAAGTTAATATCTCATTTTAGTGATTAATAATAGAATGTATCTAAATCGGGTAAAGGATGGGAATATTTTAAATTGTATACTGTAAATATGATAAAGTGTAGAATAACGGCCTGTTTTAATAAATAATTAAAATTCAATTTTAGTTACAACTTTATATATTTATGAAGAGCAACTGTGACCAGTGTTTCGGCCTAAACCTCCCAAAGTCCGAAACGTTTCGCCCAGAGGAATTTTAGTTTCGTCCTATAAGTCCGAAACCCCGAAACTAGTTTCGCCCAATTTGATCTGCAAATGATCTGCAAAATCGAGTTTCGCCCGAAACACTGACCGTGACACAGTCACAGTAAGGAAACCTAATAAACTTAAGAGAACAAGTAGTGAAAACACTAACAATTTCCTTCCTTCCCCCAAAAAAACAAAACATAAACAGTGGCTAGAAATTTTCATGCTTGAACTGCTATCAAATGTGCTGCCAATAGCTAAGGAAAAAAAAGAAGAAAAAAGAGATAACTAAGAGAAAAGGGACAACATTAAGCAGTCGCTTGACTACCGAGATTATAGAAGGAGGAAACGAAAATTACGTATATATACTTCTTCACCAGCATTAAAAGCCTTGTGATACTATTTGATGTGCTATAAGTTATTTAAAATGTGCCATAAAATAACCTAGTAAATGTTACAAACGTTCCAAACGTTCCTCTACATAGCTGAAAAATTAACCGAAAAGCATACTATGAATGATTAAT